TAGAAGGCCTGCTTGGTGGTGAGGGGCTTGAGCGCTGCCAGATGTCGCTCCAGGGCCCCCTTGTAGACCGTCTTGCTGATGCGAACCCACTCGTGGTGGAGAAGGGCGAGCACGCACCGGCACGTCATGCCCTGGCTGACAGGGATCCTGATCTCGTAGGGCTGGTCCGCTGCCGCGTCCCACGGGTCATCGAGCTCTCGGATTGCACTCGGAGACTTGAAGGGCCGTGCGCCGGCAGGGTATCGATGATGTTCAGGATCATGGAGGTTTTCACCAAGAACAGCAACTTCATTTACAACTTTCCCGAGCGACCGCTCGGTAGTGAGGTACTTTTTGGTCGACCGTCTTCTCAAACCTTTTGGCAATCTTGACCAAATGCTTCTCCACCTCTGGCTTGATCTCCACCTCCTGCTCAAAGAGAGGGGCTGATGGTGTCAGTGGCGGTCCACCACCTTGGACTTCAGGGGAGAGCCCTCCATCGCGCGCCACTCCTGGCTGGGGAGTGGGATGATTTGGCGCAGGAGCCGGTGGTAGTTGGAGGCCTCGCACTGCTTCTGCCGCTGCTCTGGCGGTCTCTGCTGCATGCACTGCAGACTGGGAGACAGCAGCTAGTGTCTGGCCTTGCAAATGAATCATGCCCAACATCTGCTGCATCTGCTCCATCATTTTGGTTTGTTGTATCTGGTAGTCTGTAGGTTCCTTTTTCTTCTTCCCCCCTGCCGCGGGACTCCTGGTCTCCTCGTCCTTCGTGCGGGAACGGGACCTGCCAGGGGCCTCTCCGCGTGCAGGGGCTGCCGCCTCAGCCCTTTGCAATGCGTCGCGAAAGCTCGGCCTGGGGTCGGCATGACTGCCCATCGGAAGTATGGGCAGAAAGCCGGTCGCACTGAGTGCAGGTACAGTCCTCGAACTGTTTTGCAGTACGACTCAAGGCTATGTCAGAGGTTCGGCGCCAGAGCATGGCAGAGGTACCATGGCAGAGCATGGCAGAGGTCCGGTGCCGACCTATCTCAGAGGTTCCACGCAGCGGCCAGGCGCCCGCCAGAGCATGGCGCGGCGCTCGCGCGGACGACGGCGGCGCCTGCCGCCGCCAGGGCCGGGAACTACCACCAGAAGGCGGTCGCATTCTTATTTTTAATTTTGCCGATCGGCGCGGGCCTTCGCGCGCCGCCCCCCCCCCGCATGGAGTAGATCATCTTGGCTGTTTTTGTTTTTTTTTCGAGCAGGCGGAGCTCGCCTATTAGATGTCGAAGCGCCGAATATGAAAACGCCCAAAAGGAGGAGGGCAGAAAGATCGGCGCGGCAGACGCGAATGCGAAGGTTGAGGACAGGAGGCGGACATGAGGATGCGAAGACAGGAGATCCTGAGGCGCGGGGCTCACCGAGATGGGTCAAGGGCGGTCGCGTGCACGGGCCCCGGCTGGGTTTCACGAGCGACCCCGTCGAGCAGGAGCAGGCTGGGCGTCGGCATGCCAGTCGACGCCGCCTTCGATCCAGGGCTTGATCCCGACCGAAGTCACCGAGCCGCCGGCGCAACCGCCGCGCCAGGGCGCGAAGCCGCTCTCGGTCCGAGCCGGATTTTCTTGTAGACTCTATCCGACGGGCGGAGCTCACAGGCCCGCCCGATTGCGCGGGCCGCTGAGCGCTCAGGCAATCTCGTCGCCCAGGTCTTTCCGAAGATGAACGACCGGGCGGGGTGCGACGGAGGGGCGAGGTCCTGGAACCCCGACACCGTTCCGGCGAGAGCGAAGTCCGTCCTTTTTCGCGCCCCCCATCCTCAGATCGACAAGGCTGCGAGCTTCAGGGGCGCGATGGAGACGCGCGCGGCGCGCGCGTGGCTCTGGGGCATCCTGCTCGGGGCCGGGCGCGCGCAGCTGCCGACGCCCTCGCTCAGCGCCCGAAGGCCCCCGAGCTGGCCGCCGCGGCTGGCTGGGATGAGCTCCGCTCATCGAGCTGGCGGACCAGGAGGGGGCGACGTTGGTCGACGATGAGAAGGAGGAGGTGATGGCGGCGGTCGAGGAATTGGAGCGACTGCGAGAGCCCCAGCAGCGACTCCAGGGGTACGAAACGCTGTTTTATGGGGGAAGGGCATGGGCAGGGGCCGCGGAAATGGCAGCGGCAAGGGCCAACAATGGCCACGACAAAGGCAAGAAGTAGAAGGGGGCCTGAGCGAACGAGGAGGCATGGGTTTGATTTCTTGCCGGGCTACGCGTCAAATCACATCTTGCAATGCGCGGGCCGCCCAGGCCCATGCCAGCCGCGCCGGGCTCGCCCATTCTTTGAGAAAGCTGCGAGATCATGCACTTGCTGGCTCTTTCAGCCCAATGCTGGCGCCGAGTCGGGGCGGCGGGCGCGCGCCGCGGCGGGGGCCTGGGCGCGGCGGCGCGGGCGAGCTCGTCATGCTTCTGGCGCGGCGCTTTCTGTGCATTCCCCGAAGCCCCTGCCCATCGACCCCGCGCGGGCCGGCGCTTCTTCGAGCGCCGGGTGCGCTCCTCGAGTGCGCGGGCCGCTTCGCGGATCGAGCTAGCGCAGCGTCTGCCCGGCGCGAAGCGGCGGGCCTGTGCTTGGCAGCGGTCAAGTTTCCAGCGCGCGCCGCGCGGGCGTCGGCGACAGGTTGCTGCGGCGTGGAAAGCAAGGGGGTCGCGATTGCGCGCGTCGGGGGTGCCGCGGCCGCTTTCGCCCAGGGCCCCGTCGCGCCCTTCGACTTGGAATCGGTCGCCGAGCGACGAGACCTAGTGGCGGACCTCGTGTCCCCCGCATGGCCGGCTGCAGGGGGGGCTCGCCGACATTTTTCGGAGGAGTTCGCGGGCGGGGAAATCCGCGAGGACATCCTCGGCCCGGCGCGGCGCCCGCCGCCTCGGAGCAGCTGGCCCGACGCCCGGCCGCGGCCCAGAGTCCGCGCGAGCGACGCGAAATGGTGCGAGCTCGCATCGGCCGGGGCAGAGCAAGGCAGCTTCGCGCAGGTCGGCGAGGGCCCCATTCTTAGGCTCAGGGGCGCGCGCGGCGAGCTCATCTTGAATGGGGCCACGGGCGTCTACAGGCAGAAAACTATTGGCGGGCGAGTCGCCCCTTGACTGCGCTGCACCAGCGTGTTCACCGTTGCGAATGCTTTCGCGCGCGAGCTGCAGGGGGGCATCGGCTTCCGCCGCGCCTGCGCCAGCTTGCTTCGGTGGTTTGGGGGGGCGGCGGGGTGTTCGTGGCGGGCTCGGAAAACAGGGCCCCGCTTCCACGTCGCTTTACGCGCCCACGTCGCGCGCTGGCTAGTTCGCGCGCGAGGAAGCGTTCGCCGGGTCGCCATTCGGCGGCGACCCGCGCGATTTTATCTACGCGTTCGCCCTCTCTGCCCGAACTGGGCGGGTCGACGCCGTCGGCGCGGCGCAGGCCGCGGCCGCACTTCGTTTCCCACACGCGCCCCCGAGCAGACGGAGCCGCGGAAGGGCGGGCCCGCGCCAGAGGGCGACGCGCGCGCAGTTGATTTGGACGGCCCCGTCTTCACGAGGCGGCCCCGCCTCCTCGGGCCCCATCACCATGGCGCAGGCGCCAGCGCGGACTCTCACGAGCAGCAGGCGTTCGTTCGAGCGTGTTCGGCTCTGGGGCTGCCCCTGGGCCTCGGCGCGAGCTCGGCGCGCAGGCTGCGCGGGCGTCTGCTTCGGGGGCGAGCTGGGCGAGGGTTCGCGGCGAACTCAGGCCGTTGTCCGAGAGCGCCGGCAAGCTGCTGGCCGAGACCGCGGCCCCGCTGTCGCGGCCCTCTTGAAAACAGGATGTCATGCAACATTCGGCTGGGGCGTTCTGCTTCGGAGCGAGTGTTCGGCGCCCCGTTGACTCCGCGCTTCAGGGCGCGTTTGATTTCTTTCTGGGCAGCCGCTGGCAGCGCGCGCCCATGTCGCAGCCGCCCGCGCAGGTTATCGACGAACTCACCCCTGGCGGCGCCCTTGCGCCCCTCGGGCCCCGTCGTCGCGGGCGCCCAATAGGGCGGCCGCCGGCAGTTCGGGCGCGTCCGGAATCGGGGGGGGCGGGCCTCGGAGCCCGCGTCCTTCGCGACAGCCCTGCGGATTGTGAACGCAGCCTTCGCCCATTACAGCTTGGGCAACCTGGTCGAAGAGTCTGGCGCTGCTCGGAGCGCCGCTGACGCGCGACGCGCGGCGCGAGGTTCATCGACTGTTCTCCTCGGCGTCTCTGCCAGGTGCCCTGTAGCTCGCTGGGGATATTGGCGCGGTCGCTGGTGCGCAGGGACGTCTGCAGCGCTCGCCCGCGAGTTCTTCTTCCGCTGGCCGCGGCGGAGGCGGCCCGCCCTTCCCTCCTTCGGCGAAGGACTTGCCGGAGCGAGTGCCTCCCTCACCTGGGCCGTCGCCGCCGCGGGCGCCAAGGTGGCCAATCCGTTCGACCTGAATTTCAATGGCGACGATTTCTTCGAGGAAAGCCGGGCGGGTGGCTAGAGGGGCAGATTCGATTCGGAATGCGCTTGCTATGAGGACTGGGCGCCGAACAGCCGTTCAATGGGCCGTCGCAGGGGCCCCATGGTGGCCCCCCTTCGGGCGCCGCCCTCCGCGTTCCACCGGTTGTCGGGGACTGGCGGCGCGCCGGGGATTTCCCCTGGCTGAAGGGCAAGTTCCATCGCGACGTGCGGCGCACCAGCGAGATGTCCCTCTCCGCCCTAGAGCGCGTCGAATGGCGTCTGCAGCGCGGCGGCGTCGCAGGCGTCGAGCACCCGCCCCGCAGCTGGGGCTGGCGAGCGCCGTTCGCGCGCGAGCTCCTCGACAGACCGCTGTAGATGTCCGGCGGCGTTGCCGCGGAGGGCAACGTAGACAGAAGTGGGGATGTGACATAATTCCGACCTTTTAGCAGAGCGCTGCATCGAGGCGACTTCCCAGGACACCCCCGCTCTATTACCATATTCGTTTCATGAAGCCTTCGATGGCTGTTCGAGGTTCGATGCTGCCGAAGAGGCGGAGTGCCCGTTCGATGTCTGTTCGCGTTGCGCGCGGATCACAATCTCGGCAGCCATGGGTACTTTGCGCGCCCTCATCCCGCCGCCCGCGCTGTCTTCGCGGGAACCGCGGGCTGCCGGCGCCCGGGGCCACGCCGACACTTGGTTGATGCACCAAGAAGTGAACGAGGGCATCGCGACCGTGGTCATGAAGTTTTTCCGCATGATGGTGCCAGGCCGCGAAACAGAGCATATTGCCCCTTTGCTGCGGGCCGATGATTTGTCGCGGGTGCGACGTGCATGCGGCCGCGGAAAACCTCGTTGACGGATGCTGGCGGTCAATCCCGCGCCTTGTTTCTGCTCAGGATTGGCGGGAAGATCGAAGCTACCTTTGGCAGCAGGGCCAACGTGTCAACGTCCTTGAATTCGCTGCGTTCCTTACTTACGCGCGCAGCCGCGCTGAGTCTGTCGACGCCCGCGAGCCAAAAATCCACGTCTTCATTCGCCGCGATGCCTCGTGCGCGATTGCAGCGGGGTGGCGTTCGTCGCATCTCCTTGACAGGCTGTGCTGCCGTTATGCGGCTGCCGCTCTCGCCGCCGACGAGTGCTCGGAACAATTCGGACGCCGACGGCCGGCGGCCTCGCCGGGATGATGGGGAATAGGGTTGTCAGGCGGAACGCGGGCCAGATGGTTCATGTCCAGTGCGAGGCACCACGCTCGCGCGCTACCAGCAGGCCATCGATGAGTTGGCAATATTTTGGGTCTACGCGCGATGCCACTGCCCTGGGCTTCAGGCCACCTTGCTCCAATTGCTCGCAAGTGGATCAACCGCACTTGCCAGGGCGATTGGCCACAGTGTAGCGCAACAGATTTTGCCGGCGCGCTCAAGAGGCTGTTCCCGCCATGCACACCGCCCATGAGCGCATCTTTTCACCGGAAGAATAGATTTTGCATTTTTTGCCGAAGACGTCATTGCGCTGTTGGGCATGGCTTCTCTGGCATCACTTCGTGGGCACCGTCGAGTTACTAGCTGTCTGCTGCCTGGTTTGGTCGGTTAGCTCCGGTCTTCGGAGCCCCTGCAACTTGCCCCCTGACAGCTGTCCGCGCGCGGAGGTGGGACCTGCATTTTTGTTTCCCCCCTGGGCCCCGATGGGGCCCAAGCCCGCGCCAGGCTGAGAAGGCGGCGGCGCGCGACAAGCTCGCGTTAAAGATGGCGAGGGCTCCGCTGTCCACCTGGCCCGTTGCAAGTCCCATTCGTCCTGGCGGTTGGGCCCAGCATCGCGCGGCGCTGCAAGTCGCGGCTTCTTCGTTTGGAACCCATGGCACTTGGCTGACGCCAGATTGCTTGCGACGCGGACGGGGCGCGCTGGCACTTCGCGCAAATGCGGCCCCCGCGACGCCGCGCAAGCACTGGGGCATTGGCAACAAGACGAGACTGCTAGCCAGCGCATCGACCAAGCTGCCGCGGAGCTCGGCGCATTGACTTCGCCCCCCTGGGAAGGCGCCGACTCGGCAGGGCAGCGGCCGGAATGTCAATGGAATCGGATGAGAGGGATAGGAAAGTGAAGGATTTGAAAGGAGGGACATTGACATGCGCCCTAAGGCGCGTCGCCGCAGCGCAGTCGAGCACGACAGACATGTCGATCTCGAACGTATTGTGGATGTTATTTGTCTCGCCCATTCTAACCGGCGCGCCATGGTTAACGCGCGCGTCGTTAATTGGCGCCGGGGCTTCGGGACATAAGTCAAGATCGCGCCGCGGGCGCTCTTCGCCGCCCAGGGCAATCTTGCGATGCAGATCCGATTGGTGCTTGAGCAGGGCGTCGGCGATCGTGCCCTGCGTCGCTATCCAGCGCGCCTCGTAATTTGACGCGCGGGATGTCATGGAATGCTTGTTCTCAGTGGTAGACTTCAGCGTGCCGGCTCCGGCCCCAGCAAAGCGTCTGCGCTCTGCAGCGTTCAGCCACATGGCGCCGAGGAATCAAAGGCGCGGGCTTAATCTGCGATGCCTGCGCCACCGCGGCGCCCGGCACCCGGGGGGCGCGTGCCTCGACATTCGATGGGGAGGTCTGGGGCTCGCTCGGGCCCCGCGCAGCCTCGGCCCGAGGATGCTGATCCGTCCTGGCCTGGAGGGGGCGCGGCCCTTGTGCCAGACAGGCATTCTGATGTAGTGACCTCATCGCGGCTGCGGTCAGCTTCCGGGGGCCGCCCTCGGCTGGCGGGCTCCGACCTTGAGCGGCGCTTCCCTCTGGGTGCCCGCGCGGGGGGCGGTCTCCAGCGCCGTCCAGGCGGCGGCTCAACCTCCGCTTGCGCCTGGGGCCCAGCGCGGCAAAGGCCGGTCGAAAGCGCAGCGCGACGCGGCGAGCTACTGGGGCGAGCCCCAGCTGGCTGGAAGTGCCCCGAAGCAGCCACTGTCCTACCTGAAAAGGTTTTATTCTTTTGCACAGGGTGTCTAGAGCTCCGACCACTGTATTTCGGCGTCGTCGTCGCTCCCCCCCAGCTGCCTTGTGCCCTTCATGTGTCGATATATGTGTCGCTGGTGTGCCTTGTGCCCTTCATGTGCCGCTGAATGTGTCGCTGTGTGTCGCTATGCGTCTCCATGTGTGCGTCGCTATGTGTCGCTGTGCGTCGCTATGCGTCGATATGTGTGTGTCGATATATGTCTCTATATGTCGATCTGTGTCGACATGTGTCGCTATGTGTCGCTCCCCAGCACCCCAGCGCACCGCCGCCCCCTCCGCCCCGACGACTTCATTTCGGCGTCGTCGTCCCCCCCCCCCCTCCCTCTCCTCAGCAGCCCAGCGCGCTGCCCCCTCCGCCCCGACCACTTTATTTCGGCGTTGTGTCGACATGTGTCGCTACGTGTCGCTCCCCAGCACCCCAGCGCACCGCCCCCTCCGCCCCGACGGCTTTATCTCGGCGTCGTCCCCCCCCCCTCCCTCTCCTCAGCAGCCCAGCGCGCTGCCCCCTCCGCCCCGACCACTTTATTTCGGCGTTGTGTCGACATGTGTCGCTACGTGTCGCTGTCGCTTTACCCCCCCCCCCCCTCTCCCTCTCCTCAGCAGCCAGCGCGCTGCCCCTCCGCCCCGACCATTTTTTCGGCGTTGTGTCGACATGTGTCGCTATGTGTCGCTCCCCAGCACCCCAGCGCACCGCCCCCTCCGCCCCGACGACTTTATTTCGGCGTCGTCGTCGCCCCCCCCCCACCCCCCCCCTCTCCCCTTCCTCAGCAGCCCAGCGCGCTGCCCCCTCCGCCCCGACCACTTTATTTCGGCGTCGTCGTCGCCCCCCCCCGGTCCTTTTCCCCAGCAGCCCAGCGCACCGCCCTCTCCGCCCCGACCACTTTATTTCGGCGTCGTCGTCGCCCTATTTCGGCGTTGTGTCGACATGTGTCGCTTTCCCCAGCAGCCCAGCGCACCGCCCTCTCCGCCCCGACCACTTTATTTCGGCGTCGTCGTCGCCCTATTTCGGCGTTGTGTCGACATGTGTCGCTATGTGTCGCTCCCCAGCACCCCAGCGCACCGCCCCCTCCGCCCCGACGACTTTTTTCGGCGTCGACGTCGCCCCCCCCCCCCCCCCCTCTCCCTCTCCTCAGCAGCCCAGCGCGCTGCCCCTTCCGCCCCGACGACTTTATTTCGGCGTCGTCGTCGCCCCCCCCCGGTCCTTTTCCCCAGCCGCCCAGCGCGCCGCCCTCTCCGCCCCGACAACTTTATTGAATCGCTTCGCTCATTCCGCCGGCCCGTGATATGGCATCGCTGGTTTTTGTCTGTGTGTTCGTTGCCCATGTTGCGCTCTTGGGGGCGGGTGTCGTTCGGACGCGTTGCGTGGGGAGTTTTGATGGTGAAGCAGTTCCCTGGGGGTCGTCTCTCGATGGGGCGAAATAGAGTCGTCGTCAAGATGCTTCTTTGGGGGGCCTCTTGGGGTCTGTTGAGAGGCCGTTCGGGGGCGCCTGGGAGACATGTTTGAAGCCTTCTGGGGCTTCTTTTGGGCCTCCTGGGAGTCTCCTGGGGCCTCTTGGCGACATCTTGGGGCCTCTTGGAGGCCTCTTGGGGCCTCTTTGGGACCTCCTGGGCGCCTTCTGGGACGGAGGGCTCCATTTTTGAGTTCTCGGTATCCCTCCTGAGTCCCTCTTGGGCCCGTCTTGGGGCCTCTTGGTCCGTCTTGGGCGGCACTTGGGCCGTCTTGAGGGCTCTCTTGGGTCGTTTCGGCGCCGTCTTGGGAGCTTCGTGGGCCGTCTTGGAGCGGTCTTGGGGGCCTCTTGGGCCGTCTTGGAGCGTCCGGAAGCCGAAAAAGCCAGAACACAAAAAACATCGAAAAAAACAATGAAAATCAACGATTTTGGCCTCTTGGGGCTCTCTTCGGAGGCCTCTTGGAAGGCTCTTGGGGCGTCTTGGAGGCCTCTTGGGCTGTCTTGGGGGCCTTTTGGGCCGTCTTGGGGTAATCTTCGGCGTCTTCGAGCGCTCTTTGGGCGTCTCGGGGGCCTCTTGGGCAGTCTTGGGGGCCTCTTGGGGCACTCTGAGCGCGTTCTGGGGAGCCTGAGAGGCCGCACCCAGAAGGAAAACCATCTCTGAGTAGACTCGGTCGGGCGGCGGCCGGGCGTTGGTCGGGGTACTTTTCGCCGGGGGACCCCCACGGGCCGCCCCGCGCGCGCGAACTAGAAATACTGTTAATACTGTTAACCAGTTACCGGAGATCTTAACACGCCCTGGCCCGTTGGGCCGGCGAATTTCGGCGTCGTCGTCGCCCCCCCCATCCCCCTCTCCCGAGCAGCCCAGCGCGCCGCCCCCTTCGCCCCGACCACTTTATTTCGGCGTCGTCGTCGCCCCCCCCCCCTCCCCTTCTCCCCAGCAGCCCAGCCCAGCGCACCGCCCCCTCCGCCCCGATAATTTGATTCTCTTGCACAGGGTGTCTAGAGCTCCGACCATTTTATTTTGCGTCGCCTGGGGCCCCCGCGCCGCGGCTCTCTGCCCCAGGCCCCCCCGCGCCCCCAGCGCCCCAGCGGGGGCCCCGCCCACTGCCCCCTTCCGACACACGAACGCTTTATCCCGCGTCGCCCCCCCGCCCCCCCGCGTCCCCAGTGCCAGTGCGAGGCCCCCGCGCCGTGGCTGCCTGCCCCGAGCCCACCGCGCCCCCAGCGCCCCAGCGGGGGCCCCGCCCACTGCCCCCTCCGCCACGAACGCTTTATCCCGCGTCGCACCCCCCCCCCCCCGCGTCCCCAGCGCCAGTGTGGGCCCCCGCGCCGTGGCTCTCTGCCCCAAGCCCCACCGCGTCCCCAGCGCCCCAGCGGGGCCCCCGCCCACTGCCCCCTCCGCCACGACGCTGTATTACGCGTCGCACCCCCCCCCCTCCGCGTCCCCAGCGCCAGAGTGGGACCCCCGCGCCGTGGTTCTCTGCCCCGAGCCCCCCGCGCCCCCAGCGCCCCAGCGGGGGCCCCGCCCACTGCCCCTTCCGCCACTAACGCTTCATCCCGCGTCGCGCCCGCACCACCTCCCCCCCTCCCTCCCCGCGTCCCCAGCGCCCCAGTGGGGACTCCGCCCCGTGCCCCCTCCGCCCCGACAATTTTATTCCGCGTCGCGACGCACGCCACCTCCCCCCTTCCCCCCCTTTCCCCAGCGCCCCAGTTGGACCCCCGCCCCGTGGCCCTCTGCCCCAAGCCCCGCCCAGTGCCCCCTCCGCCCCGACAGTTTATTCCGCGTCGCGGCACGCACCACCACCCCTCCTCTCTGCGCCCCCAGCGCCCCAGTGGGATCTCCGCCCCGTGCTCCCTCCGCTCCGAGTACTTTATTCCGCGTCGCGACGCACGCCGCCTCCCCCACCCTCTCCACCTGGGATTTGGGCCCCGTTGCTGGGCCCAGAGGGCGATGCCTTGCCCCCTCTTCCCCCCTCCTCCTCCACTTCCTCCTCCTCCTCCTTCTCCTCCTCCTCCTCCTCCTCCCCTCCCTCCTCTCCTCCTCCTCCTCCTCCTCCTCCTCCGCCTCCTCCTCCTCCTCCTCCTCCTCCTCCTCCTCCTCCCCTTTCCTTTTTGTGCAGGGGCTATGGCACACGTGCCACTTGTTTGGTCAGTTCCAGCGCCTCCCCCCCCGTAGATCTCGGCCTCCGCGGGCCGCGTTCGGGCCCCTTGGCTCCCGCGAGCGGCTGCCTGAGCCCGCCCGCAGCATTCCCGCGATCGAGGGTCGAAGGTCTGGACGCATATGCGTCCGCCGCCGTTTCTCGCCCCGCGCAGCAGACTGAATCGCCCCGCGCAGAAACCCGAACAACTGCGCAGGGTCGCGCGGACTTTTCACGTCGGCGCGGGGGGGGCGCGGGGCGGGGGCCCGCAGAACCGCGACGCCCGCGCGGACCTCGGACAGCTATTTCATGTCGGTGCCGCCTTGCCGATCATCCGCCGATGCTCGTTCCTGCCCGTTGCTTGCTCGCGCTGGAAGCGCGATGATCTGCTTGGTCAGCAGGCGGCGGTGCATGTCATCGCCCGCCCGTGGTCTATCGGGGCACCCAATGTGCGCGGAAGCTCTCTCGCGGCTTGGGCTGGAGGTTCGGTCTCTAAAGGGCATCGTGTGGAAGTCTTTCCGAGTTCCGCGTCCTGCAATATGGTTGCAGGCCGATTGCCGCACAGGTCTGCGCAGCAGTCACATCAAATAGAAAAATCCGCCCGCCAGCAGGTGCCCCGCGGAAACCTCTCAACCCCCGATGGCCCCAGGGACGCAGAAGCTCGGGGACGCCTCAGGACTTGAAGCCATCGAAGCAGAGTGTGCCCCAACATCTCTTACGGCAAGGCGTCTTACCGCACGCGCCTGCTGCTACAGCAGCAGCCTGCACATCCGGCCATTTTCCCTCGAGGCCCTGCAGGATCCAGACCCCGGACGTCATGATTTGTCTTTAACGTCGGCCCCCGAAGGTCTCGACCTACTCTCCGGGACCAGCTTCTCGTCCTGAGTCATTCTTCGACGGTTCCCAGGCCCGGCGACGGCCACAGATGCCGAAAATAGCGAAAAACCTCCCGTCGTGAACTTGTCATGACCCGAGGGGATCTGGAGCCGCGCGCGCAGCAGCGCGCGTAACCTGCGCCGAGCCCGCAGACAAGACGTGCACGGGCCTCGCCGCCCGCTCGGCGCCCCCCCGCCGTCGTCGTTGTCGCCGTCGTCGTTTCCGTCGTCGTCGGCGTCGTCGGCGTCGTCGTCGTTTTCCTCGTCAACGTCGTCGTCGTCGGCGTCTACGTCGTCGTCGTCGTCGTTGTCGTCGTCGTCGTCGACGTCGTCGTCGTCCACGTCGTCCACGTCGTCGTCGTCGTCGTCGTCGTCGCGCCGCCCCGCCGGCCCCCGCCGCCCCGCCGCTCGAGACAGGCGGGTTTCGCCGCCCCCCGGCGCGGCGCCGGCCAGCCCACCGTGGCCTTCCGGTGCCCGCACCAGGCGCTCGCCGTCGCTGGTCGTCATCGGGGTCGTCGTCGTCGTCGCCTGTCGTCATCGTCGCGGGTCGCTCGCCGCCAGTCGTCGCCGCCGCCCGTCTTCGGCGTCGCCTGTCGTCGTTGTCGCCGCTGGTCGGCGTCGCCTGTCGACGTCGTCGCAGGTCTGTGGGTCGTCGTTCGACGCGGTCGTCGTCGCCGTCGCCGTCGTCGCCCGTCAGCGACGTCGCAGGTCGACGACAAGGTCGTCACTTGTCGCCGGTCGTCGTTGCCGTCGCTCTCGTTGGTCGTTGTCGTCGTTTTTTGTTGTTGTCCTCGTCCTAAATCTCGCTCTGCGTTGCTGCCTCTTCAGTCTTCTCCTCCTCTTCCCCCTCCCTCACTCCTCCTCCTCCTCCTCCTCCTCATCCTCCTCCTCCCCCTCTTCCTCCTCATCGTTTTTCCACATGCTCCTCGTCGCCACCATCGTCATCATCAGCAGCAGCAACAGTACTATCACCCTTTTTCCTCCTCATCATCATGATCGTCAACATCATCACCGTCATCCTCGTCATGGTCATCGAGTTCATCAGCATCATTATCATCACCGCCATCCGTGAACAGTTTGGTCTAATATGGCGCGATCAGGGCAGGTGTTTGGTCCCATGTGGTTGGCCCGAGCCGTCGCGTCACTTCTCACTTGGGTCAGGCCCAGAATCGACCAAACTTTTAGCGATGATTTCGAGGCCAAAGTCCGTTCATGTCTAGAACCTTGTTTGCAACCTGGCCCCAGTCGCCCGATTGGAGGCCTTGCTTGCGCGGGCTCGACCAATGACAGGACGTGGTGGTGGTGCTCGAGATGCCGCGCGCGGAGGCGGTTGAAAGGGCGGCAGGGGAGACAGACCAGGCGGCTGTCTGACAGGAGGCGGTGGCGGCGCAGGCAGCCAACCCAAAGCCCGGGATTGCCCACAGTGCGGAGCCAAGAATAGAGGCAGCAGGCACAACCGTCGCAGCTGCGGAGATTATTGGCGGGAGCAAGGATATGCAGGCTTTGGTGGATGGTGTGGCATGTCGCAATTGGACGCCGAGGAACGTCACGAACTCAACAGTTGCGGCGGAAGGTCAGAAAGCTCGAAACAGGAGGACACGCATCAGGCAGCGACGCCAGAGCAGGTCATGCAGCCGACGCGCAACAGCAAATTAGATGTGAGAGTGTACGTCGTTTTGGCTAGCTACGAATCGATATCAAGAAGCTCGATGGCGTGAAAGGTGTGGGCAAAAAAATGCTATTGCCGCCAGGCGTCGCACGCCAGAACAGCTCGACTTGGAGCTCGCTGAAGACTAGCCCACGCCCGTGCAGCCCACCGAACTGGAGCGCAAGCAGAATTACCAGAAGAGCACAACAGAGGCGATCGAACGGCATATCAAGGGCATCACGCAGGAGACCGATGCGCCCTAGGGCAAGAAGGTCGAAATCGATGGCAAGCGCGAGCAGAGCCACCATCAAGACGGAATTCCAGGCCCACATCGACAATCTCCGGGTCAAGCACCAACGGGAGCGTGATGGTGCAGCACGGGGAGGACGCATGGGCGCTAGGGCATCGGCGGCAGCGGCAACCACGGCGGCGGCAAGCGACCCCGTGGAGCCGAGACCCTCAGCGAGGCGTAGCGCGAACACCTTCCGCGCAGCTTTGACCAGGCCCCTGACATGCGCAGCCCAATGTTCTCAGAGCAGTGGGGGGGGCGCAAGTTCGCGGGGTCGCAGCCGCCGGCTTAGCAGCAGAGCGTGGCGAAGCCAGCGGGGGCGAACGGGGGCCGCTATTCGAGGGCTCCGACCAGGGCGCCATCTTCGACGACATCGTGGAAAAGTGCGACGAAGTGGGGGCGGCAGGGGATGGCGCGGAAGGAGGCGCCGGCCGCCAAGGCAGCCGCCCATCGGCGGGCCAGAGCGGCCAGGTTTCCACGGGGGCCCCTTGCCGCGGGGCTCAAGCGCAGGGCGCGGGGGGAAGGGTGCGGGTGGCAAGCCTGGCTTTGCCATCGCCGGCCGCGACGGCAGCGGCGGGGGCCGCGCTCCTGGGCGAGCAGAGCGACCCTCATGAGGAGATGATCTCAGCTGCGCCTGGGGCGCGCCGTTTGCCCCCCGGCGCGCCGCCTCCGCAGCTGCCGCGCGATCGAGCAGGAGCAGTGGCGCCGTCAGGTTGGATGGAGCGCAGCCCTCGCCCAAGGCGTCGCTGCTGCTGGGGCGATGGAGCACGGGCGTCCAGCGGCGGCGCGGGCGTCGCTTTCCGTCCGGCCCGCGGCGCGTGCGGCCCCGGGAAAGAACCAGGAGGCGCCATGGAAACCTGCCGCGCGAGCGACGGCGGGACAACGGTCACGCGCATAAATGGCGCGGTACCCAATGCCTTTCTGATCGCTCCTGTGCATTTGGACAGACGACGTGGGCGAGAACGGCAAGTCGGCACGCGGGGCGCGGGCGCGCTGCTCGCCCGCGCGGAGGCCCTGGGCCCCAGCAGGCAATTTGAAAGTCGAGCTCGACTGGCCCCGCGAGCGCGCGTCGCACTGGCTCGGCATGGCGAGGGGCCGCGTCGTCGATTGGGGGGTCGGGCGCTTGCCGGCCCTTTCTACAGATGGAGGCCTCCGAGCTGGTCTCGCTCATCGTCGGCGAGGAGATGCTTGGCCAGGTCGCGGGGTGCAAGCGCCTCGACATGACCGAGCGCGGTCAGTCCAACCCTTGCAGGCCCCGCGTTCCGCTCGAGCTACCTCTGAAGTGCCGCGGCGACCTCGGTCAGTCCTCCATGGCCAAGGGCCGGATAGGGCTCCCCCATGCTATGGCCCTTCGGACTGCTGTGCGACATGGGATGGGGGCGCGACGCGGCGCGGGCGCAGATCGACCAGAGCGGCGAGTTCGAAGACCTCGCCAATGTGCACCAGGGCCTCTGCGCGGCCGCGCAGGGCGAGCTGGCGAGCTCGCGCGGGCGCGCCAGATCGACCGGCGCGACGAGGCCTGCCGCGGGCGCCGCGGACCCCCAAGCTTCTGCTTCGGGGCCCAGGCGCGCGCATGACCCACGAAGGGGTTCGAGGCGAGCTACAGCGGCAAGAAGTTGATGCGCGTGAGCGATTGCTTCTCGCTGGGCCGCCACGGGCCGGCGCCGTCGGCCGCTTCGGTCGAGGGGGCGGCCCGGGGCTCACAGGTTGGCCGGGGCCCCGAGCGGCGCGAGGCAGAGCGCGTGGGAGCACGGCCCCTGGAGAGATGCAACTGGGCCTTGGGGCGCCGCCAGCGCAGCTGGGCATCCGGCCCGAGCAGCCCCGACCCGCGCGGGGACAAGGGCGAGTGGATGGACCTCTGCGCCCCGCGCATCTACCGCGCGCTGGGACTGCCCACCCATGCCGCCACAGGCCAAGCGTAGGACTTCGAGGATCGCGTGCAGAACGTGATCGATGCGCGCTCCGAAGTGCGGCGTCGCGGGTCCGGCGGCATGCAGGACGCGGCGCGCTTCGCCAACCAGCTGTCACTCTTCGTCCGCGTCAGCTGGGAGATGGAGACCCACCGGACCATCGGGAATTTTCGCGGGCCCAGAGGTGGCTGGATGGGGCACGCGGGCCACTGCGGGCCACTTCCAGGGGCGCCCCAGTCGTCGCGGGGCGCCGCCACCGACTGCCCCCGCTCATTGGAACCGCGCGCATGGCACGGTTGGAAGCAATCGGTTCTCTGCGACGCTCAGCCCCCCCCGCGCGCTCGGCGCCGAAGGGGCGCCTGCCATGCGCGCGCGCGCCTCGGCAGGCGCGAGAGCGACTGCGTGGGCGCCGACGCCCAGTGAGCGCAGCGCTCAGGGCGACCCAGGTGACTCAGGCGCAGCTGCTGGCGGCCCAGCAGACGGCGAAGCTGGCGGAGAGCCCGGGGCGCCCACGAGCGGCGGTGCAGCAGCCGGCGCTGCCCAGCAGCCGAGGCCCTTCGGCGAGACAGCCGCGGCGTGCTGGGCCACGGCGGCAGGGCTCGGCGAGGGCGGCTGGGCGCCGCCGAGGCGACGCGCGACTCGCGTCATCGGCTCCGGGGCGAGCTGGCCCGGACCGCTGGGGGGTGCGCTGACGGGGAGCATTGCGGCTTCATTTGGTCGGCGAAGCGCTTCGTGCGCCACCGCGGGGGGCCCCCGCCAGACAGCGACAGCGGCGGCGCCGGCGCCGCGGACCGCGGCGGCGCCAGTCAGGGCGTCAGCCGGGGAGGGCAGCTGCGCCGAGGCCCCAGGCCCCCGCGCTTGGTGGGGCAACCTTTGGGCGCCCGCTGGGCCGCGCGGGGAGCGCTGGCGGCCTCGCGCCCAGAGTTGCTGCTTCTGGACGAGCGGGCAGTCGACGCAAGGGCTGGGGCGGAGGCAGAGGGCGCTGCCTCTGCAAGGGGCCCATGCGCATGGCCCAGAAAGCAAGGGGGTGGTTGCTTTTCAGCGGGCTTTGCGAGCGAGCGCGGAATGGATCCCCCCCCGCCCGCTCAGGCCCCCAGCGGACGCCGAGGCCGGCCTGGGCCGTCGGCGGAGCGGGCGCGGAAAGCAGCCCAGAATTTCCGCCGCGGGGCGGGGGCCGGCGGCAACAGCCTGGGCCCCGGGAAGGCGGCGGACTTCAGGGACGCCATGTTGGAGACCATCATCGAATCCGGCATGAAGTGCGAGGGTCTCGGCGGCTGTCCACACGCGATCATCGACGCGTTCGTGGCAGTGCCGCCCAAACCCCAGGGCGGCTTTCGGCCCGTCCGGCTGCTCAGTTCGCCCCCGCTTCTATGGGGCCGAGCTCGCCAGCCCGAGGCGCGGCGGCGGGGCTCCGACATCGACCCAGGGCTTGCCGGCACATTCTGGCGGGGCCGAGGGCGCGCCGCTGAGGGCGCAGCACGGCGGCGGGCGTTTCGGTCAGAAGCTTCTCGTTCCAGGAGGGGGCGGCGCAGCTGCAGCGCTAATCGACTTGTGGAAGGCATGCGAGCTGGTGAACTTGGCCATCATGCAGGATCGAAGGGTCCTGGCCAAAAATCCACGGAGCCTTCTGGGCATG